TTCCTGTTTTGTACATGTCTTCCCGTCTTCCCAGCAAGCTAGGCAGCAAGTTGAAACGAAACTCTATAATGGCGCACCAAAAATGTCACTCAACCAATACTCTGGTCAGAAAACAAGAAACACTCTTTGAAGAAGAAACCTCTATATTGTTACAGGCAGTACCCTCATGATGAAGGATCACCCAACTCTCTCCCTCTCTTTCAAAGTAGATTGTCATCTTCACAAAGTTCCTTCTGCGATGTGCCAAATGACACTCAATGCCCTTGTCATCTTCTTTCTTGCTTTTTCATTTCTATTCCATCATGTCTGTCATCATCATCTTTGTTGTCCACCTTGAGTCTTTTCGAGGCAATATAGAGCAGCTTGGCAGCCTCCGACGAAGCCTGTCACTGAAACAGTCGCAGCCATCAGCATATGTGGAGCATATTCATCTCTTGCCACATTAGCCACGGATGTTCTCCCCACTTGAAGCACTCGATGGGCAGTGCTCATCATGTACACGGCTCTGGTAATTTGTAGTGTCATGTTTCCTGGACTTGTTTGGTGGCTTTTGAGTTGATGTAATAAATGATTGTGTCAATTTGTGTCGTCCTTCTGGCTTGAAAACCTCTGATAGACTACCGTATTCCTTTCTAACTTGTTTTCCCTCTTCTTACTAAATGAGCCCATACCTCCCCACAACCAATGGCTCTGCATGATCGCTCAGGCTTGTCCATGAGAACACAATCAACACAAACACGAACATTTTTGCGAGGTTGAAACACGCTGTTTGCTTTCGGAATTTCTTTGGCTTTCAAAGAGTTCCCATTCGAGATTGTTGCCGTTTCTTCTTCGTCTCGCGCACAATCACGAGTTTCTGTAGTCCCGAATAACGCTGACGTATGTGCCGCCAACAAAAGATCATAATGCAGATCTTTCATGTCCAAGTCTGTGTCAAATCACACCCCGCTTCCCCCTATTGGCACCGTTGCTCTTTGGCTCTGACTGGCATCGGCACAACAGTACTGTTCGTTGCCCATTTCTCGTTTCCATTTCCTTTGTTGCTGCCAGCGAGAATAGAATAATATCAACCATGAAGCTTTCTCTCTTTGCCGCAACCGTTATTGCCGTGACAACCACGGGCGTCCAAAGCTTTACTGCTCCAACTCTCCCTCGACAATCTGCGGTCCCCCTTTTGGCTCAGAAGAATGATTGGATCGGTGCGGCGGCAGTAACTGCAACTTTGGGATGGACGTTGGCGGCTCAAGTAGCTGTTGCTACACCACCACTACCACCACAAGAGCAAATGGTTCCTTCTTCGTCAGTGATGGTATCCGTGGAGAAATTAGATTTCTCCTTGCCCAGCTACGATGCCGCTCGATCGAATGAAGGTGGTTTTGGAGTAGGATCGGAAGCTCGATTGGGTCAAAATCCTGCCGATTTCGAAAAGTCCAAGCAAGACGAGGCCATGAAAAAGGCAGAGGAGGCAAGGTTGGCCCGCAAGGAAGCTTTGAAACAAGAACGAATCCAACGCAATGAAGATCAAATCCGAGCTGCCGAAGCCAAGAAGCAGCGAGATGCACAGAAACTTGCCGACTTTTTTGGAGGACAATAGAGACGCAAACGAATAACTTAAGCAGCTAGCTAGCTAGAAGAAACATGGTTGGAGACTAGTTGGTTGGTGAATTTTTGTTTGCAAAATGCTAGTAGTTTGAGATAGGAATGGACTCCGACTCCTTCACGCTTGTAACAGTGGACAGGAAAGTCCCAACTCTAGCTAGTAGTCCATTCATACTTAATTCAAGACAAATGCAGTCTCGGTTTGATAGCTTGGTGATTATGAAAGAGGAGAAGAAAGTGTGAGACGGGTACAGGCAGCATAGCTTGAAACCTTAGCTACTGTTTGTTCCTGGCTTGAATCATTTTTCTAAAGCAGGCTACATGACTTGTCCTCTGTGTGGGAGTGTGTGTCCAGCGAAAATCAGCACTGCCCAATTGACGGAGGGTGCAAAAGCATGAAAGAAGTGCTTTGTGCTTGGTACGAGTAACGAAGGCAGAGCTTAGCAGCTTCAGAGCCTCCAAGTTTCTTGATCGAAAGGAAAAGGTCGAATTCTGGTAGTATCCCTAACACTACTGAGCAATTTGCTACCATTCCTTTTGGTTGTTTGGCAAGAGCCGTTGTGCTGTTGTCCGCATCCTCAGACCTCATTTCGCTTTGAAGTGACAATGCCAAGCCCGCTATCAACCAAGGAACCAAGAAAACCAGAGCTTACCCTACCCGCCTGAAGAACTGATAGCTTCCAGAGAGTCTTATCCAGACTTGTGAGGCAACATGATGCAGTAGATAAAGCAAAGATCAGAGAGAGGAAGGCTACCGGACGCAAACCTACCAAGAAACAGTGCCAACGACAACCCCATCAACAACAAGATCATCCCATCACAACCTCAAAAAAGAGACAACCAGCACCACAGTAACTTTCTTTGACTACAGTTTGAAAAATGGCAGGTCTGGGACGTCGCACGCACTACCGCAAGCATTTGACGGATTCGATCATTTATGATTTTCCGGAACCCGGCGAGAACGAACGGATTGCCAAGGTGGTGGCCACACGAGGCAGCAATCAGTTTGATATTGTTTTATCCTCCTCTGAGGATCATCAACCATCCACGGAACAACGAGAGTCTCATTTGGCCATCCTACCTACCAAATTCAACAAACTGGTCTGGGTCAAGCGCAACGATTTTGTCATTGTCGAGACCGGTGTGGAGAATGATGAACCGAAAAATGATGCCGACACGGGCAGCATTCGCTACATTATTTCCCACATTCTCTACAAAGATCAAGTCAAACATCTTCAGACCAAAGGCTTGTGGCCGTCCAAGGATGCTGAGTTTGCGACGGATAAGATTGGACTAGAGGATACGGCTGGCCAGGATGGTCAAGACAACAACAACACAAACAACACTGATGAGGCCAATCCACCCAAAGACGATGGTATTGTCTATGATACGGGGTATGAAGATGACGATGAATATTTGGTGAATACCAACCGATTGGCTGCACTCAAAGTAGACGATTCTTCCGACAGCGAATCCGGTGACGAAGAGTAAATCGCTCGGTTGGTTATCTATCTTCTGGCTTTTTGCAAGGGAGCGATTGTGCCGTGGAATTCCGAATACTCGGTGCCTGGTATTTTTCAACGGTGGATCAACCAGAGCTGACACGACAAAGCAACAACACAGCCGTAAAGTTTTAGGGAGAAAGATTGGTCATCAACACAACAATCCAATGGCAATCTGCGTTTTTAAGTAACGATTATATGGACTCCGAATCATCACTCAGCAATAGACTATACATTCGTGTCGTCATGACACTTTTTCTCTCTGATCCAATAGTATATTTCCTTTGGCGTCTGTTACATGAGAAAAGTATTCCACAGGCAGTGTTCCGTCGATCCCTGCCGTCAAAAGGACACCATTGGCACTTTTATAAAAGACAATACCCGGATGGTTGGCGCATTTGGCAGCATTCACGTAGATATAAATGCCACAGGTGGCACGCATTCCGGAAATGACGCCTTGGTTGCGGGGCAATCCGGGAGCAAAATGGATATTATTCCGTGTCATTTTGTTCAAACCTTTTGTGCAAATGGCAGTCTCCCACGCCAGTTTGTAAGTGCCATGCACAATCACTGGTATGTGTGCCAATTCCTCGGGCGGGACAAGTGTCAGCAGCAATTCCGGATCAATAAACGGCAGTGAGTGACCTTGAGAGGCTCGAATGCAGAGTATAGTGTTGTCGTCTTGGTTGATAGTCTCCTCCTGGAAGGTGGTTGTGTCCACGTCGGGATAATTGGAAATCGGCTTCCATTCCATGTGAAATCTCTGTTTGGCGCAGGATCTCACAATTTCCTGTATATCCTCGAATGTAAACTCTTGATGACGGAGCTTTTCGTGTCGGCAGTTCAAAATTTCCGACACCGGGACAAAGCCATCCGGAGTCATTGGCAAACCAATTTCGGGGCCTTGATGACGGAGCGCCCATGCTAGAGTTTTCGATGTCTTTTCGGCCCTGGTTGGAGGAGGGTGCTTCTTCTTTCTATTGTTAGTGTTTCCTTGGCCTTCTTTGCGGGGTTGTTGTTGCTGGTTGTTGTTGTTTCCCTTTTTCATGATGTTGGGATGTGTGCTCTTGCTTTGTGCTGTACTACTGTACTGTGATGTATCCTGGAGATGTGTGATGGTGTCAAGGAAAGATTTGATGTTTCGGTTTTGTGGCTGATCGAAAGATCGGGCTTCGGTGAGTCGAGTCGCAGACACGTTTGAAGTTTGGACGTGACAGTAACCCGTGGTTGGTGGATTGAAGGGTCTGTACCACTCTTGAGCAGCAAAGAGGAAGACAACGCTTGCTGGCCCCACCAACGACGACAGCCATAGTGAATCATTCTAGCTAGCTACTACCTGGTAGCAGAGCAGAACAGAGCAGCCAGCTTCAATTTTTAAGGAATATTGTCAGTACAGATGCATATTGGCTAGCTAGTAGTCTGGTATGGTACCGGTACCGGTAGAGTCCCTCATTCTCCACTCCCGGTCAAAGAACACATGCTATGCAGTAGACCAAAAGAACCAGGAACCACTGCCGGCCCTACTCCTGGCTGGACCAACTTCAGGTCCCTTGTTCCCTGGACCAACTTCAGAGCCTAGCCCTCGAGTTCCACACCAGAATCGAATCTACCGGTACCCTGATCATCACAGACCCACTCCTGGTTCGAGTTCACTCCATCCAGGTCGCGCTAATAACAGAACAGGACCAAGTCCTGCACCTTACATGTGGGCTACATGTAGACTAGTCTAGTCGACTGTACTGGTACGACTGTACCGTGCGGGTCCTGGTACATGTACTATTAGTGATGCTCTTTTTCTCCGGTTCGGTCTTACCCCCCCAGCTCTTCCAGCTCTTTGTGATGGCTGTACTGGTCCCTTCAGCGTTCCACATGCTCTGGATTGCAAACGCG